ATGTCGAATCGGGTACTAAAAATAGTCGTAAAGCCACGCTTTCCTGACTGAAGTAGAACGAGAAAATATAATCGTTCCACGAGCCATTATATTTTCCTCGTTACGCTGTCACAGTTTATAACTTCTTCACCAGTTTCAGTCTCAAAATCGTCGACGTATTTATTTCAACAGCCCGCGCGTTATAATTAATTTCCCGAATCCTCTTGAACGTTGTACAACCAAATAATCACACACGACGACTCTGAAAAATAGAAAAAACCAAGCAGAAGTGCAAAACAAAATTGTGTTATGTCCGCGGAGCGTGGAGGATCAGGCCGTCCGGCAAACAGCAAAAAGTTCGGGCGGCCGTCGAGCGAAAATATCGTGCCACGTGTTACCCTGAAAAATTAATCGTCCCGGGACTCTCCGGGGAGGGTGCCTGCGGCCGACCGCCCCCCTTCCCGTTTCCCACCCCCCGGCCACCAATTCCCGTCCTAGCCGGTCCTGGAGGACGAGTTAGCCCGTAAATTCTGGCTAGCGCGACGCATCGTCCGGTCCGGCATGAAAATTAATGACAGGGGCGTGACAGGGAGGGGGGTGGGTATCTCCGGCAAGTAACCCTCCAAGATTTGGCGTGGGCGGCGGGCGAGGATGGGACGGCGGCGGCCCGGCAATAATGCAAACAGACACGCGATAATCCGCGATGGCTCGTTAGCAGTAACGGAGGAGCACGTAAGTCATACGTGTGTTCCTGCCATGCGCCTCTTGACGAGGATCGCTCACATGTTTCGCAAACCCACCCCTTCTATCCCCGGCGATCGAATTGCCCGGCAACTTAGCCGCGCTCCAGAGGCAGCCCCAACAATTCTAAGATTGTAGTATGTACTTTATTATATACTAGATTAGACTACTTTACATAAAAGCAATGACAAAGCATTGAAATTTTAACATTTATTAGATATTAGATTAATAAAACTGGTGCAATTTATGGTTTTAAAAACTATTGTATGGCCAATTTATTGAGTAACATTGACATCCTGTCTCATTGCGCCGCTGTCGGAGTGTACACCTTTAAGGGTTTTTGAACTAGACAGGAAGCGCAGGGTTTATACGAGGCGGATGAGTGCTCGGTGGGAAAAGGAATTTTTTTTCTCCTAGCCAACCTCCTCTCGAAGAGTTAATTCTTTTTCGCGAGCCAAGAGAAATGAACGAGCTTAACCCTATTCTAGTTTGAAGTTACTTATTCTCGAAATTTTCTTTCATTTACGTTAACAGTAAAACTACCGACGATTGATGTATACTTACTTCTACTTGTTTTTCAAATTAATAAGTCATTTAAGAAAGGACATAGTAATTTT